GTTTTCACAGAATGCAAGAATTAGGTCCCCCGTTTCCAGACTAATTAGAGAATTTTTATGTTTAGTCAAACGAACTATTTTCAACGTTTCTGGAACGTTTACAATCGTTCTATAATCGAACCAATATTCGAATTTTATGTTCGAATTTAAATCGAACAAATTTGAACATTGTTCGAATTAAATTCGAACAAAACATTCGAAATACAAAGCCACTTTCAACCACTTTCAGCCTCATATCTCCCGCACCCTTATAGCTATCAAGACGCAACCACCCCTATGTACGAATGGAGACTTGGGGCTACCACCACATACAAACACCATTCACATGCGATGTGTAGTTTTGGCGGAAAAGTGAAATATAGGGACATACATGTCCATTTTTATATATATATATATAGATAGCATATCTAACAAGGGCCTTTTGCTGTTCCAACATGTAGTATCTATAATTCCAGCGAGTAGGAACATCTTGAATTAATTTGTGTTTCTGCAAACCTAACTTTTCTTGCAAATCTTCTAATTTGATTACAGCTACAGCAGAATGATTAAAATGTGTGACAATATTTCTATTAACTGTGATTATAGTTTTTACATCTTGTTCAGAAAATATTCATTCGTTTAGTGTCAGCTGCAGCGTATGTATAAAGCATGATAATGCTTCTAAGTTGCAATTCCTAATTTCAGCTACCAGATTTGCTGCAGAATCTCTTAGTACTAAGAATATCTTATCACTTGTCAACTTATACTGTTCAATAACAATTTTTAACTGTTCACTGATTCATGTAGCTGTGTGGGAACCTTCAAAGGAAACAATTTGCAAAACAGCTCTTTCCTGCTGAAAATCATCCTTCAACCAGTAGGCTGTTACACTTAAAAAAAAAAGGAGAATTGTTTGTAGTTGCTGTCCAAATATCAGCGGTTAAAGAAATATATTTTGTTTCTGTTAAACACAGAAACACTTCAGCTTTTTAAACAGTGTCGAAGTTTCCATGCGTCAACAATTAAGTGTTGAGATTTATTTTAGAAACAAAGGAAGAGATTGTTGATTTTGCGAGGATATTCGATCGTCTCTTGTTTACCTGACCTGAGGGAGATGGAAATACCAGGTGGAGAAAAATGGGTTTTTTCCACATTATAATTAACTGTATAATTAACTCCAGGATCTCACACTATTAATGCAATAAATTATTAACACTAATCGGCCGATTAATCGGTATCGGCCGATAATGCATGGCCGATTAATCGGTAATCGGCCATTTTGCTTATCGGTGCATCCTTATTATGGACCTTTGTAAATATTCCGTAGTCACGAGAAATAAAATAAGGTATTTCGTCGGAAACAGTGTCTTCATTAATCTTGACTGACGAACAAAGGACACAGGATACGTGGACAACTGAGGCCTCTGAACGCTTCGAATTTGGTCCTACCTCGTAAGGTAGGACCAAATTCAAAGCGTTCGGTAGAATCGGTTTTTAGCCACATTGCTAAACCGAACACTTCGATGGATTTTAGTCCCATTGCTAAACAGGGAAAGTATGAGTACGATATACAGGGGAAAACTACTAAACTTGAGAACATTGTGATGTATCAATAAAATTGCAGCCAGGCATTGTGATGATGTTACAAGATATAATTACTCATATAATAATTTTGTTTTCATTGTATTACCTTTTAAGAAAACTTGAATAATGCCTTTGATTTATTTGAAATGTGTAATCACTTCTAGTATTGATGATTTTTCAATGGTATATTATGTAGATGAACATTTTTTGTTTCTTAAATCAATATTTCATACAGTTTTTGATATTATATAGTTACTTATGAATTAAACTGAAAATTTACAAATGTTTAAAAAACTAGGTGATCATAATTAAAGTATTCAATACTATAATAAATCACTATTCCCCATGTTTTCACACTATTTCCAACAAAACAGTTTAATAAAAATTTAATGAAAGTAATGTATTTTGCTACTTAAGTAAGCTGCTTCAGGTTTTAACAATCTGAAATTGAACATCTAAATTTAGACATTGATTGTTTCAGATTGTTAAAACTTGAAACCTTTAAATGTTTGTTTCATTAAATTGGGCTGCAATTTGAAAAATTTGTAGACCTATAAATTTCCACTGTTGTTCATTTATCTGGCTGTCTTTCCTTAATCTTAAGAACAGAGACTAGATGAAAGACTAGACCAGCTATGGAAATCTTTGGGTAGGAGGCTCTAATTAACTATATATGAACTTCCAATGGAAATTGAAAGCCATGTTATTTTGATTAAAAAATTTTTTCCCAAAAGGTGTTAGATAGATTACCAGCACAGCCATATTGTTAAAGGAAAAGTATGATGTATAGGGGCAGGCCACTACTAATTTGAGGTGGAGAGCATATAATTTATATTAATTTTATTTAAAATTTAAATAAATAAATTTTAAAATTTAATTTAAAATTAAATTAATTTTGAAATTAAAAAAAATAATCACTTGTTTTTATTAAACTGCTTTGCTGAAAATAGTGTGGAAGTATTATTAGTAGGTTCCAGTTCTTCACATAGAGAATTGGATTCAACATTGTCTTCAGAGAGATTTAGCAGATGAAGAACATATACAAAGAAATAGCGTGCCAAAAACACCAAGATATCATACCTATGTACTCCACTATATATGACTAATTGCACAATGGCAGAGATATGGTCAAACAATTCTGCTTACTGGGTATATATTGGATTTTGATAATGGACCAGAGATTCCATTGTAGTGCTTTGGTTTTACCACCTACTATCTAAAAAAACAATTGGTAGAACATAACTATAATATAAACAAGAAACACATCACCAACTTGGCCATTTATGCCTCAGACAACATCATCCAGGCTGATTTACAAAAGGCATACATCATTAGACAAACTAGACAACTGGATAATATCAGAGCTCTTGGGGCACTAGAAATTTAAAACTGAAAAGAAGGGGAAAAATATCAATTTCAAAGTTGAGAAATGGTTGTCCTGCACATGGCAGACATTACTTTAATCAGTATCAAGACAATATCTTTTGTTACATGGTATGTGGATGATATTTTGGTTACATGGAAAACCAAACCTGATATAGGAGAAGTGTTAAAAGTTTTTAACAACAATGGCTACGGACTGACATTAGAATTAGATCAGGAAAGTCCCATGGAGGTTTATTACTTGGACATCAAGATTCGTATGGCAAATAGAAATACAGTGGAACCTCGGTAAACGACCTTAATCAGTTCCTGATGTTTGGTCTTATACTGAATAGGACGTATACCAAACCATTTCCCATAAGTAATATAAAAATGATTAATCCGCTCTCATGTAAAAAAAAATGGCTGGCTTTAAATACCTCACTTTACTGGCTAGTTCCTGTTTGATTTTTCATGAGATCAGCATGTATCTTTTTAGTTTTCTCGCAAATAATTGCTTCTGATACACTGTCGCCAGCACACTGTTTTTCAGTTATCCAAAGCAAAAGCAATTTCTCAACATGATCTCTGTTGTCTTCAATCTCTGTGTAGAAATTGATTTAACCCCTTTTGCAATGTTAGCAGATTTAACAATGTCTTTCTTTTTCACTATTGTTGATATCATCGTTCTTGGAATACAGTATGCAACAGTTAAATCTTGAATGTGCATGCCACCTTCATATTTCTCAACAATCTCTTTTTTCAGTTCCATTGTGATTCTAGTCATTTTTTTTAGTTTTCTGTTGCTTTTCATTTGCCTTTTTGTAATTCATGATTAATAAAAATAATAAAATTTTATTTACAAATTAAAATCAGAAGAAATTTAACAAAGTTATAAACCGTGGNCTGCCATCAAGTAAATGGTTAACTGTGTTAACCATAGATTCAATTGCGTCCTCGGCCGATCGTTGTGGCCGAAAGCCGTATTGTTTATTGCTCAGGCATTTATTATGCTCAACATGCCAGTTGAGCCTGTTGGTCATCAACCGTTCAAGTATCTTACCCAATACGGGTAGAAGTGAAATTGGTCGCGCATCACTTGAAGAGCCTGGTTTTGGGACAGGAACAATCCGTGCGTGTTTCCATGCACGAGGAAAAATTGCATGGTGTAGACAGGCATTATATAAATTAAATAAGTGTTGCGGAATTAGAGCCCACAGATTGAGTGCAATTTCATTAGTAATTTCGTCAGGGCCCGGAGCTTTGCCTTTTTTGAGATAACAGAAGGCCTGTTGAATTTCCTCGTACTTGACATATACCTAGCATGTGTCGCCATCAAGGTGCCGCCATTTTGGAAGCCAGACTCCCCGCATTTGGTTCCTTCAGATCGAGACCCAATTTCGAAACGCTGGAATATCGTCAGATCAAATGAAATTCAATACTGTCGTCAGCTACATTGATGCGGAAATCCTCACGCAAGTTTTGGACATTTTACTCAGTCCGCCTGCGTCGGAGAGATACAAACTCATCAAAGAATGGCTAATCTCCGCTTTTGTGGACAGTGAGACCCAGCGCACCAAAAAATTACTGACGGAAATGGAACTCGGTGACTGCAAACCCTCACAACTACTCTGCAAAATGCGTAATCTGGCTGACGAAAAAATCGGCGAGAATTTTTTGAAGACTGTGGTCCAATGCCTACCGATCAACATGCGAAGCATCCTATCGGTTAGTAGCAATGAACTATCAAAATTAGCTGCCATGGCCGACCAGATTTGGGAACTCAGCCCTGGGCCAACGACAGCACAGCTTGTCCCCATAGCATCGGGAAGTGCACACTGTAGGGAACCGCTCCCTGCCTTGGACATCCTGCAAAAGCAAATATCGGAATTGTTACTGCAGGTAGCTACACTTAACGAATGGATATACCCACATGCGAGGCAAAGAAACACCTGACCCAGATCAAGAGAGCGATTACGCAGTCGACGGCCCTCTAGCCGCAATATCTGTTATTACCACGCCACATTCAGAAGAAATGCCTACAAATGTCGGCAACCGTGCAGCTTCCAAGAACAAAAGGTTGCTGTTGAGGAAGTGGAAAACTGACCCCCCCCGACTCTCTTTGGCAACAGGGTCAACGGATTGAGCTGAGTCGCCTGTATATAAGTGACAAGGATATAGCAACCCTGTACCTTGTGGACATGGGAGTGGACATTTCTGTTATACCCCCATTGCCCCATGAAAGGCGCAACTGCAACAAGCTCGAGCTTTTCGCAGCCAACGGGTCGACAATAAAGACTTATGGCCGAAAGTTACTTAACCTAGATCTGGGATTACGAAGAAACTTTCCATGGATATTCGTCATATCCGATGTCCAGAGGCCAATTGTTGGCGTGGACTTTTTATCTCACTTCAACCTGCTGGTCGACAGCAGCCGCTGTCAGCTCATTGACGGAGTTACAAATCTTCACACGAACGCCAAATTCCTTCGTTATGACACATCACGAATCCAAGTACTGAAAGACGTCTATTTACCAAAAAATCCTTGTCGAGTACCCAGACTTAGTGCGGCCATCAATCACCAACACCAAGATCAAGGAACACAACATCGTACATTTCATCGAAACCAAGGGCCCACCTGTGTTTGCTAGACCACGGAGACTCTCGGCAGACAATCTAAAGGCAGCCCGCAAGGAGTTCGAATTCATGCTCCAACAGGGCCTATACCGGCCTTCAAAAAGCAGCTGGGCCAGTCTGCTACACCTGACACAGAAAAGGTCAGGAGATTGGAGACTGTGTGGAGATTACAGAGCACTCAACAGTGTCACCATTCCAGATACATACCCAATTCCATTCCTCACCGACTGCAACCATATTCTTCGTACTATGAAGATCTTTTCATCGATAGACCTGGTGCACGCTTACCAGCAGATAACTGTACATGAACCAGACACTCCTAAAACCGCTATCATTACCCCATTTGGCCTGTTCAAATTTCCCTTTATGACTTTCGGACTACAAAATGCAGCCCAAAATCTTTCAGCAGTTCATGAATGTGGTGCTCACTGGTCTTGACTTTGTTTTCTGTTACCTAGACGACATTCTTGTTGCTTCTCCAGACCAAGAAACACATCGACACCTTTGCACTCTCTTCATCAGGTTAAACGAGTACGGGCTACGTATTAACCCTGCTAAGTGTACCTTTGGCGCCATGTCTATAGAATTTCTGGGGTACAGGATAACGCGATAAGGCCTATGGCTGCTACAAGCAAAAGTGGAATGTATTCAAAATTTCCCTAGGCCAGAGACAGCTACGGCACTATGACAGTTCTTCAGAATGATAAACTTTTATCACAGGTTCATCCCAGGATGTGCCACATTGCAGGTCCCTCTCACGCCATGTTAAGCGGCCATACCAAAAACAGCGCTAAATCTCTCATCTGGTCGGAAGAAGCAAATAGCGCCTTCAACAACATGAAGGACACCTTAAGCAGGGCTATCCTCCTCATCCACCCAGCACTGGAGGCCAGACTTTCCTTAACCACAGATGCATCAGATGTTAGCATTAGAGCCGTCTTACATCAAGAGCTCGACAGCATTAAACAACCCCATAGTTTCTTCTCCAGAGCCCTCACCAAGTCTCAAATAAAGTACACTGCATACGACCGAGAACTCCTAGTCATCTACTCTGCCATCAAGCATTTTTGGCACCTAGTGGAGGGGAGGCCATTCGTCATCTATACAGATCACAAACTCCTTATGTTTGCCTTCCTTCAAGATTTGGCCAAGGCATCGCCTCGTCAACTCCGTCAATTCGACTATATATCGCAGTTTTCAACCGACTTGCACCATATATCCGGCAGGGACAACGTTGTAGCAGACTCCTTGTCCCGCATAAACACCATTGGCACACCATCCATAAACTATGACGCCATCGCAGACGCACAGCAGAACGATGAACTGTCAGAACTACAACAAAACACAAGCCTCAAAATAGCAACGATGCACCTTCCAAGCTCATCAAAACCCTATTCTGCAATGTTTCTATGGGTCTCTGTAGACCTTATATACCCCCCTCTTTTCGATGGGAGGTGTTCTCGGCCACTCACAACTTATCACACCCAGGAGCCCGTATGACAGCCAAACTGGTCACTCAGAGGTACATCTGGCCAAACATGAACAAAGACTGCCAGACGTGGGCACAATCTTGCTTGGCCTGCCAAAAGGCGAAAATCCACCGACATACACGTGCACCTCTGGCAAAGTTCCTCGTTCCAAATTCACGATTTGAACACATCAACATCGACATAGTTGGCCTGTTACCACTCTCAGAAGGATCAAGGTACCCCCTTACTGCAGTTGACTGATTTTCAAGGTGGGTGGAGGCAACACCCCTGCCAGACCAGACAGCGGACACGGTCGCCAGGGTCCTGATCCACACATGGGTTGCACGTTTTGGCGTTCCGACAACAATCACAATGGATCAGGGCAGACAATTTGAAAGCCAGTTGTTCAGATCACTAAGCAACTACCTAGGCTTTCAAATCAGCCACACTACGGCCTACCACCCCAAAGCCAACAGGCTGATCGAGAGGCAACACTGCACTCTGAAGGCAGCCCTGACAGCACATCTTCATTAATCAATCCCATGGACCACGGCATTGCCGCTCGTCCTTCTAGGCCTACACTCGGCCATCAAAGAAGACATCGGAGCATCCCCAGCCGAGTTTCTGTACAGCACTCCGTTATGGTTACCAGGTGAACTGCTGGCGGATTCCCCAGTGATGGAGAAGACAGAGTTCATGCAACAGATGCAACAATTCCTTCGTACGTTAAGACTGTCCCCAACATCCTGACATGGGAAGTGAATGACCTTCATCTCCGAACGGCTGGCAGACTGTTTGCATGTCTTCGTGCTCAATCCCGCGACCCATCCTTCACTCCAACTAGCCTATCTGGGCCCTTATCGCATGCGTTGCCGCTTCGAAAAGTTTTTTGACATTGACGTCGCGGGCTCTTCTAAAAGGGTATCATTAGACAGACTAAAACCCGCATTCCTTCTAAACGAAGATGCCGCTGCTGGAATGAACCCTATAAGCATCCCATCCGTCAGCCAACACCCAACATCACCCACCAAGCCAACAGGAAGACAAACGTCATCAGGACGCGTTATCCGACCACCCATTAGCTTCCTGGATACGATACGCTGGACCACTAGGGGGGAGTGTGTAGGGCAGAGGGCGCCACTGCTTCACCTTTCCCCCCTCTGACCTCACTTCGTCCTCGGACACCGACCAGGTCTCCTGGTCGGTGTCCAAGGACGAAGTGAGGTCAGAGGGGGGAAAGGTGAAGCAGTGGCGCCCTCTGCCCTACACACTCCCCCCTAGTGGTCCAGCGTATCGTATCCAGGAAGCTAATGGGTGGTCGGATAACGCGTCCTGATGACGTTTGTCTTCAGGACACGTTATCCGACCAGGAGAGACTTTGTCCTCGGACACCGACCAGGAGAGACCTGGTCAGTTCAATAATTTGTACAATAATTTAACTTAAGGAATAAGGGTGCACCGATTAATCAGTAAGTAATCGGTAATTGGCTGTATCGGCCACTTAGCCGATTAATCGGTATCGGCCATTTCCACCGATTAATCGGTTTCGATAATCGGCCAATTTTACATTTTGGTATTTTTGTTAGAATGTTACGTACAATGCTAGTAATAAAAACTAATAAATTTCTGTTATATATTTATTATTTATTACATGACAATCTGAATATTAAAAAAATTTTACTAATCAAATTATTCCTTTCATCAATACATATTATAAGTATAACATAACGTATAATATAAAGTTTAAACTTTACATAAGAAAAAGTATTGAATAGGTTAAGAAGAAAAATTAAATTTTTATTTGTTTCATAAGTTTAAAGTTTAAATACAAAACAAATATAAAACAAATAAAAATTTAATATTTAAACTGTAAAACCCTTAAATTACAATTTAAGGGTTTTACAGTTTGTTTTTACAATGCAAAAACATGAGAATTTCATCATTTTCAGGGCATAACCTATTTTTTGCCGGCTCATAAATGTTACCTTCAGTGCTGAAAATTTTTTCACTTTCAATGGAAGATGCTGAGGCACTTAAATATTTCATAGCTATTTTGCTCAAATTAGGGATAAATGTAAATATGTTTCTAATTCTTGATCGAAACGTTTGTTCGTCTCTTTCTTTTTTTTTTTCTTTCTTTTTAAAAACATGCTATTCTTCATTCTTTCGTTTACCAGAAGCTAATTCATCAAATAAATCAGAAAAACTTAGAAATTCACCTCCATCTTGATCACCTCCAGAAGTAGAAGCTTCAGAATTTAATTCTTATTGAGATTTCCTCTAGCATATCCTCTTTTTGAAATTTCATTTTGAATCTAATAAAAATGACAAGCATAAAGACTTGTTTTCTATATATGCTGAAAATTTTTTTTTATTGGATTTTCTAGTTCTTCTGTTGTGGTATTAATGCCACTAAAGGAACTACTGATCTTTGCTTTTGATAAGAATAATTTCAGAGTCTCTATTGTGGGAATTATTGAAGATGAAGTGGCTTCTCGTTTGCTGGCTTTCCACAGTAATTTCTTTGAATGGTTTTACAAGTAGAACAATTTTTTCAACGAGAGACCACTGATATGGGCTCAACGTAGGAATTTTATTATCTATAGCATATGTGACAAGGGCCTTTTGCTGTTCCAACATGTAGTATGTAGAATTCCAGCGAGTAGGAACATCTTGAATTAATTTGTGTTTCTGCAAACCTAACTTTTCTTGCAAATCTTCCAATTTGATTACAGCTACAGCAGAATGATTAAAATGTGTGACAATATTTCTATTAACTGTGATTATAGTTTTCACATCTTGTTTAGAAAATATGCATTCGTTTAGTGTCAGCTGCAGCGTATGTATAAAGCATGATAATGCTTCTAAGTTGCAATTC